TCTTAAACGTACAATATGTCATTTTTGCCGCAAGATGAAGTTTGATGACATTGTGTCGTATCATGGGAGTTGTTGTCTTCACCACCATTGGTGTCATTGTGTTTAGCTTCATCGTTCAGGAGCTTTCTACCAGGAGTCGAACTATCCGCATAAGTCTCCTCCTCTCCAAATAAATGGACCTGGTGATTAAAAATGGTGAGGAAAAAAAAAACTGAATAAAGCAGTTTCACCTTAGAAATCGTTGATTCTCTGCGCTGTCTGGTGGACAAAGGACGTCGCGAAGGTTACATTTTTAGTTAACAATGACCAAGATGTCATGAGCTTCTGGCAAGACGACCAAAATGCTGACTCGTGCATAGGGGACATAACACTATTGATGGGCGTGAAACGCAGTGTAAACTGAATAAAATTACAGATTTCTCTGTAAAATTACAGAGTTCTCATTGTTGAAAAATTATGGACTTACATGTGAAAAAATGTAAGTCCACAAATTTGTATAATAAATACCATAGGTCTAGTGTTTATAGACAGTTTAATGTGGTTATATACTATATCTTCAAGTATTGGTCTACCAGGATACTCCTTTCTTTGAAATAAACATGTGGATTAAGTGTCTTTATTGGTAGAGAAGATTCTCCCAAGGCTTAAAACAGGCCTATTTGTCTTCTCTCAGAAAACATTTTTCAGGCACATGGCTTTCACTATTTTTGTTTGTACGTTATTCTTTGTTTGTACGTTAAAGGAAACTGTTAAAGTCAGCTGCCAAAAAACATTAAATTAATGGGCAATGTTTTCATAAGATTCTACCCAGAGAACATAAGCAATCACATGAACATGATTAAGAAGGCTTAAGTGCTCTGACCATTTTCTAACAAAAGTCTCAAGTATTTGATGTCAGACTTTCCAAAAGCTCTTGAAGACACAGACGAAGACATTTAAAAAAAAAAAAACACATCTCGAAACAATGAACCTGACTAAATATTTACCATGATGGATTACCTATCATTTCAAGGCTCAGTAAGTTGATTTTCTTGCTGCAGTGAAGTGAATTAAAAGTGAACGGCCACTTTGCAAAAAAGGAAATGGTATGAAAAATCAGAATGAAATAACCCATTCATTCATTCCTAATTCTTAAACTTCCTGTCTGTGCCAGTGGACTGAAACAAAACTGTGGTAGTGACAATGCTGAGACAATTTCTGCTTCACTTTATTTTTCATTCTTTCATGTTTGGCCTTGTTGCCCAGCAAAGGAAGCTCTCTTCTTCTGAAAGTTTTAACAGAGCTGCTGTCACACAAGTGGGTCACACAGTATAGAGCTGGAACTTAGCCGATCCCAGGAGGGGGCTTCATGAATTCTTGCCTGCCTGTCTGCTGCAGAGAGGGGCTGTCTGGACCACCCTGTATCAGTGATAGGAAATGGAAGTCATGTGACGGTGACGTAAATGTGTAGGGCGGATGACAGTGTGACGCTTAACAGATGTATGAAAATGTTGCTTAACTTCAAAAGGCAATATCTACCCTAAAGGAAGGAAACTTGTATTTGTTTGAATCCCTGTGAAGTACTTTGTAAACTGCTACATGAATTGAACTTATTACAATATTATCATAAAATACATGATTCTTAAAACGCAGTTAATCGTTCCCTGTCTTGCATTTTTGCTTGTGTATTTTCCTTGTTCCCATGGATACCTTAGAAACATAGATAAAATGCTATAGTGGGTATTTCAGTTATCTAAAACATCAGCAGTAAATATAATATGTCTCAGAATCAAACAGGAAGGATGTGTTTCTAGACTCACCCCTTCTGCACAAAGTCGATGATTTTAGTATATTTCTTATCCTCCATTTGGACCACAATGCTCTGTAAAAATGGCAAATTGCAATTGTAGGGAATTCTAATATGTAGTTGAAGTATGCAAGGCAGGTTGAGAGAAAGCCAACACTTGGACAATTAACAACAAAGTTGGAGAGAGAAGGCGGCTCTCGTGAATGTGCATGGCTATTTGCCATTGCTTTTAGAGTTGATGATTTCCGACTCGCTTTGTGACCATGGCAACCGGAGGAAATGATACAGGAGCTGACTTCACAGATATGAGTTCGTATCCCTATAACACTTCCTCGCCTGCAGAGAGCAAACATTAATGAAAACAGTCCTGGAGCAACATCAGCTTCAAAGTTTCATTATCAGGTCTGGCTCAAAAACACATTTATAGTGTTAGTTACCAAAACTTGCTGCATAAATCATGTCATATTGCAAACCATTTCCTCTGATCTAAGCTACAACCTACTTTTTTAGCTACCTATGTGATGAGATTACAGTAGGTGGATAGCAGTAGCTAGTGGTGTATGGCCTCCATTAGATGTGCACATCACAGCAGCCATTTTGACGATTGCTACACAAAAAACACAATTAGGTAACACCTGTGTTTACCTGACTATTTCATGTCAAAATGGCTGCTGTGAAAAAGATCATCACATCCACAAAGTAAGATGGAGAGATTTTTTTGCTTGAAAAGTGACCAGAATGATTAATTGATGATCAAAATCTGTTGATAGACTGTGATTAGTCAGCTACTTTTTGTAGCTTTATCTTCACACAGTCAGACAAAATGGTGGATGTAACAATGTCAGCTAAACCATAGACATATAATACATAGTCACCACTTTAGCCTCTTCGGCCCGTTGCTGGGATACGTCATACAAAGCACTATAACATACATTTCTCAACCGATTTCATTTTGTCGTTTTTATATTAAAAGATTTATGAGAATTTTTCATCGTCTCCACTTACTTAGAATCTCTGTAGTTAATAGGCCTAATAGAGCGAGATGCTCAAGAGAGGAGTGTATGTAGGCTTGCAGGAACTGAATTACTTTACATGTTGGAAAATAATTTGTTGTCATAATAATCATAAGTGTTACCATGGTTTGTAATGTGCTTGTCTGTCATCTCTGCAGGACTGAGGGCATGGTTCAGTTCCACACACACACACACACACACAGACACACACACACACAGCCATTTTTTTCGAACACGTAAGTAATTCCAATATGGCGGCGTTGCTGGCGTACGATCCAGGGGCGGGTCGCTATCTATGCATATATGTCTTTGTTGAAACTGCCATGGAGCTTTTCCAGTAGGGGTTCCTATAGCAACAGATTGTTCAACTAAAAACCAACCCGTGTCACGGTAACGATGGCACAAAGTTTGATTTGATCATCGTATAAACATGGATCACCTTTCTTGTAACACTTCTGTCACATGAATCACATTGATCCTCGGAGCTGTTGTTCTATTATTTAAACGTAACGGAATAATGGAAACCTCAGCTGTGAATAACAAGAGGAAGATTAATGGGGCAAGTGTCATCTCAGCAGCATTAACTGCCACGCCCGCTCGTAATAGCCTTTTTGTCAAATGTTAAACTTGTGTCAATGCCTGTCAAAACTCTGTGTTGTTAAAGGGAGCAGCCTCTCATGTCAGATCTTGTAATGGGCTGTCACTTGTTTAATTCTAACCACAAAACATAGGTACAAGGGGCAGGAGGTGGGGGGGCATTTTACTCTTGATGTGAGCAGTGAATCGGCACCCTGGCGACGGCCACGAGGGATTTAGCTGTGCTGGCAGCGGTCTAATCTAGAGGCACAGAGATATAATCTGTCACATTAATGATCATTTTCTATTGACATATGAGTGTAAAATGGGTATTACAGCGTTGCAGTGTCAACCCATTTACAGCTAATTGTCAAGCTGTTCAACATACTTCATGGCACACAATTAAGAGCAGAGAAGGGAGGCAGCTCGTAATGGTGATTTGGCACCTTTTAAAGACATTTCTGACAGTATTATGGCAGTTATGATTCAGAGGGCCTTGGCTCACAATCTGCACTGCCACTGTCAGTATGTTTCTGCCTACTACAGTGTCCTATTAGGATACTGTGCTCCACTAATGAGTCATGCCTGTCATAAAATAAGATACATACATTGAGGAAACTATAAAAAATACCATCTGAGACATAGATGTTTTGATCATATTTTACATATTTTTCTCAATAAATGTTACCTCAAGATACATTTAGCTTATTACACCAACAGCCACAACAAGACTTAATCACGAATGCTTCAGAATTAAGCTGTTACACAAAATTTTTATTGATAATTGATAATAATAGTGGAAAAATATGTAATGGGAAATGTGTCACTTGTGGTAATGAACCCAGAGAGAATAATCTGTCCCTCACTTTTGTGTAGCATTTTACCATCTTTCAGCTTATTGTTTTGGTTTTATGGCACATAACTGCAGACAAAGTTAGCAATCAGTTGGTGAATATAGTGGAGTGTTTAGCAGAAACAGACATTTCTTTACTTTACTCAAAAAAACATGAATGCTAATGTCGCTCTGTGCCTGCTGTATGTATAAATGGGCAATACGCTCACCATATCAACCTTTTAAGATAATATTTCAATGTTGTAGCTTATTTAGGTTTAAGTCCATCACAAAATTGCAAGTATTACATTATACTCCTCATGACCTACAGTCTCATATTATAATTTCGAGCAACATTATGTACTTTTTCTAC